TCTTTCGCACATACTCGCTCGCTCGTTAGAATGCTCCCACCCCTAGGCCTGCGTCAAATTGGCGTCGGTTCCTTGACCTTCCTAAGGCGCTACTCTTCATGCTTAGGTACGAGTCATACCTAACTTAGCCAGTGAGCATGTGCAACTGCCCTCCCTTTGACATGCTCAGGACCCAACTTGGTCTCTTGCCTGCAAATCGCAGCGCGTGTTCTCACCGTGATTCCAACATGCAAATGTAGACATCGCAACGAATGATGACATGGATGTTATAGTAGGATCGCATGCTCATTTCATCTGTCCATGAAAGACGTGACGGTATAGTACAGTCTGACATCGAGTCAGTGACCGCGACCATAAGATGAGCGAAGCGATGCGCTTACTGCCAATCCAGGGATGGAGCTCTTCACACATCGTAGCCACTCTTTCCCGGAACAACGCCATGCGCAGGCCCGCCCTTCCCATACATCTTCCGTAAATCGCCCGCGAGCTTGTCGGGCACTTCGAATGCTGCGAAGTGCCCGCCGGCGTCGTGCTCCGACTCGAACACGAGCTTTCCGATGGTATACGACCAGCTGCGATTCAGTGGTCTTTGAGCCTCCTTATCATGAGTGGAAGAAAGGAGAGACGCGTACTATTTCGGGATTGGAGCAATCTCGGCGGGGAAGTACGACACCCCGAGCGGAACAGACGTCCAGCCCGCGTGAGTGGCGATTGACTGTGCACCACCATTGCTCATCTCGTAATAGATGCGGAGCGAGGCGGCGGGTCCTGATCGCGAAAACCAGTAGATGGAGATCCACTCGAGCACTTCGTGGCGATTCTCGTTAATTTCGCAGAGAGATATGAGCGACGTGTGACCGCAACTGCTCACCTTCGTCCTCCGTCCAGGGATATTTGTCCGTCCACGCCACGAGCTTTTCGTAGATCCACGCGAGCAGTCCAACGGGGGAGTCAGCAAGCGAGTAGCCGAGTGTCTGAGGGCGCGTCGACTGTTGCGTGGAGTAGCCCCTCCCGAAATCCATAAATCGCCGTGACACGGCGATTCTGTCCTTCGAAGCGCGGTCAAATGGGAGCATGAATAGCGAATGGATGAACACGAGAGGGAATTGAGTTATTGTGGGGATGGTTCCACTGGACAACCAGACCAAGTCAGACGACCTGTGTTCACGACATAGTGGAGAAGAGGCTTACACGGGCATGTTCGTGTGCCAGGCTTTCACATGCTTATGTCCGTGATGCTTCACGACGTGTGCTCCGAGCTACATGGCGAGTAGATGCAGTTAGCCTGTCATTTCTTGTAGAGTAGAGACGTCAAAGCTCCTTACAATATTTCCCCAGTCACCCCCTTGATACACTGTATGCGTGCAAAGTCAGATATCAAGGTGCATTTACTTTGGGTTCATGAGTTCGTACCATACTCGTCATACCCAAGGGACAGCATCAGCTTGTTCAACAGCTGAACGCACGAGCAACGTAAGCCTAGCTCATACGCACTGAAAGGAGTCAACGGACCTCAGCGTATTGGGCTCCCTTGAAACCCGGTTTGCGTGGTGCTTCGGAGAAGCCAAACCCAGGCAGGCTGGGAGCGACGACATGGAAGCTTGGATATTCCGCGCCACCAGCAGTCAGAAGAGGCAAGATCTTCCTCACTTCGAGGAAGTCGCCAGGCCCTGCAAAGTCAGATTCAACGGCGCTGTCGGTATACCTCCAGCGGTGCGCGTGTACTGACTGGGCACTTACATCCGTGGACAAACAACAACGGAATAGCGCCCTTTACATCGCTCTTTTGATGAACGTAGTGCACGTTCAACGTGCCGAAGTCTTCCACTTTAATGTCGCGCGTGAACATCGGGAGCTTGTTGATCTCGGCCTCGGCCTTCCTCCAATCGAACTTGGTCTTCCAGTGCTCCGTCAGACGCTTGATGTCGGCGAGGGGCACGCCATAGTCCCATCCTGCGCTGTCCAGCTCATCAGGGAAGCGAACGAGCTCGAGCTTTTTCTGGAGGAGTTCAAGATCAGTGTCTGGGACCGAGAGCTTGAAGGGCGTTTCGCCATTGGTAGTGTCCGACATGGTCAGTAGCGAGGAACAGGAGAAACGCAACGATCGTGAGTTAGCAGCGGCGGTTGATGTTAAAAGAGCAGGAGGTTCGGCGACGACCCTCGGGAACAGAAAGCAATTGAATTCATTGAGTCAGCACCGTTGTCGTTATGTACACTCACGGTGGACACGGCTGTAGCTTGTGTCTTTTCCGCTGACAAACTGCCTAGAGTATCAGAACTTGGACCGGAGAAGCGCAACATCCTGAGATCGCAAACATATGTAGACCGCATGCGGTGCGTCCTCGAAGTTCAAACAACGATGCGGTCTAAACCTCCTTGTCTTGGCACTCCCACGACTCCCCTATTTGGCATGGATGACGTCAGCATGTCCATCCGTAGGATATTGGTGTTGATATTTGCTTGCTTGACTGTACTCTTGTATGATCTCAGCTGAGGCGAATCAATTCAGCGCGATTCATCAAGTCAAGCCGTTGTGTTGTCGCACTTCCAGAAATACCTACGAGGTACGTTCTGCTCGTTGTGGACCTCCGATGTTGAGCGTCATAACCATGAATGTGACTGTCTTGAACAATCAGCATCAAGTCGGAGCAGCTGGGAGGGACCCCTACTGGATTCCCATCATGGAAGCTCAAAGCTTCTCTCAAAACTCCCCGATTCACATCGACATCGACGTCCAGTTTGCGATACTCGAGCATTTAGACGAATCGCACACAAAAGACACCATCGCTTCTTGCGCCATGCTCAACCATGAATGGCTTTCCGTATTTCGTCCTGCACTTTTTCGTTCCATCACGGTGAAACCTCATGCCGACAAACGTCTGTCAAGTTTCATAGACTTCTTGCTCTCTCACCCCGACGTCGCTGCTTACATACAAGAGCTGGTGCTCTCCGGAGAAGCCGCTCAAAGCCTGACCGATCGCTATATCACAGTCAGAGAATATCAAGCTGTCTTGGCGACACTCTCTCATCTCCGCAAGCTTCGACTCGTGTCGCTCGTCATCGGCAACCAATTCCTGAGTGCTACCCCTCATCCGGAGATGGAAGCCCTGCCCCATGGACCGGTACGCCCTCTACAGTCTCTTCATATTGATGACTGCGACTCCATTGGATCATCCGAATCGCCGACATGGACTCACGATCCCCGTCCGCTCCTCGACATCCTATGCGCATCCCTCTCTATCAACAACTTGACCATCGACAACACATGTGGCTCGAATTTGTATGACAAGCAGAGTACGCACCATATTCTGTCGGCCCTGATCGAGCCGCAGCATCGTCCGCAGTCGCCCACGGTCCACACGCTGGTGCTCAACTCGATCCGACCTGCCACAGCGGCTATATTGCATGCCTACCTTGCCTACACAGGCTCGCTCGAAGGCCCTCTAACAACCCTGCGCGTTGGTAGATTCGGTTCTAGCAAGAGCTTTCCTCTGTTTTATTTCCCCATGCTCTGGGACACCCGCGCGCACCTCACCGAACTGCACTTATGCGCAGCCGACGTTACCTGCGGTATGTCTTCCATCAGTTCAAATGTCGCCTGCACTCATCAAGTCAACCCCGAACGTTTTCCTGCCCCAGATTTGACTCCAGGCCTGTATCAAAGGACGATTGACCACTTCGCGAGTCTTGTCGCACTACAAACGCTCGTCTTCTGGGTCTGCAGCTCCTTCGGACGACCAGGGAGCCAGCTCACGATGTGCACCCCGCTACTCAAGCCCCCCAACCTCCGTACATTGTCTTTCAAGCTGGATCCCGGGGACGCGCTTGCGATAGAGTTTCTATCGCGTATGGCCCGACTTCCCAGCCCTCAGGCTAGCCTGCTTTGGGGTGAGTTGGACGAGGCCCTACACGGGATCAAGACCCTACGTGCAGCAGAGTTCGCCTTTTACAACAAAGGTCAACATACACCCGCCGCGGGTGAGGATCATTTCGAGCCTTTCAGGAGGACGTTCGAGAGGTGTTTCCCAATGACGCTGGAGAGGGGCATCTTGCGGGTGCGACACATGCCTGGGCAATCGTATGGGGAGTACTGAGACCACCCTCGCAACCGAATGCGGGTCTTTTTGTTCTCCAAGGCTGCACCCAATGATCACTGTGGCCCTGATGAATGGGAGAGCAGCCGGACTCAGATTGCGACCCAGTCTTCGGCTCGCGTCTCCCCTACATATGTTCTCGGTCACGTAGAACCGGTAGTTTCTTTGTCATAGCCTGCAATTGATGGCTGCTTTCGAGATCGAGGACTCCCGCTAGCTCGGGTCGGTCGATCCATCAAGCTATTGGTCGGGTAGGGTATGCTAATGGCTATGATACAAATCCTGAAGTGCGCGATTACCCCAGCGTCCCATCTAAACCACCATGACTAGCGATACAGTATATAGCATTAGCAACGAGCGATAGCGCACCACGCGAAAACAAGCAACAAGTCCAAGACACTTCCAAATTCACACGCTAGAAGCCTGGGTGCCATGCGGCGGCACCGTGGTGATCTGTCGACATCTTGGCCTCTGCCGCGGAATGGGCGGACGTGCGTTCGTTATGTTCACGGAGTTTCGGGGGCCATCACTGGCGTCGCACGCGCTTGACGTCCCCACCCTCCCCGACCTCGAGCGCGGCGAACGGCTCTCGTCTGCCTCCAGGCGGCTGCGCTCCACTCCCCCCTGCCGGGTTCTGCAGACCCATTCCCTGCTGGGCACGTCGCGCCGATTGAATTCCCCTACACGAGCACACGCATACATCAGCAATTGGAACTACCTATCGAGAAGTTTGGGAGAGGGGCGTACTGCATGATTTCAGCCGTCCGCTTGAGGCTGCTTGACGTGCCAGACCCAGTACTCGCACTCACGCCCGTATGTGAAGTCGAGCGGGGCGGAGGCTGCCCGCGACTGGATTGCTGCTGTGAATATAGGCACAGTTAACAGGCCATATGCGCGTAAGCATACTAGTCTTGGACTCACCCCGGCGGGGAAGTTGAAACCGCCCGCCATAGACGGCGTCCTGGGCCGTTCCCTACTGCCACTGCCACTGGAGGTTGAGGCCGACGAACTAGAGGGGTTCGCTTGTCGCAAAAACCCGGCGTCCTGGTTTGCAAGAGTTACAGGTGAGGGTTGCAATTGCGCGGGTCCAGGTTGAGGAGCGCGTGAGGGCGCCCCGTGAGGCGCATTCGCACCCTCCGTCGCGCGCCGATTCAGCCGCGCAGGCGCGTCCTGCCGCAGGGGCACGTCCACGCTCGAGGCCTGGCTCTCCTGCTCCATCGCAGCACCTGCGCCCTCGCCGTCCTCGAAGTCGATGGGCCGCCCGATGCCCTCGTCGAGAGCGCCGAGGTCGACGGCCGCGTACAGCGCGTCGTCCTCGGACGGGAAGTGGTATTCGTCCTCCTGTGACTCCGTCATCTCAACCTCCGGCGCGGCCGGTGGTGGAGCGGCCGACGTTGATGCAGCATTAGCGGACTCGGCGGCGGCGGCGGCAGCGCTTGCAGCCTCCTCCTGCGCGTCCTGGATCGCCTTGAGACGCGCGGCGTGCCGCTCTGCCGTCCGCTGCGCCATCCCACCCTCGTTCGGGTTCGTGTTCGACAGTGGGCGTCCCTGTGGTGCTCTGGGCCCCCCAGGGGTCTGTAGTGGTGTATGC